GACGCTCTTCCGATCTGAGGCATAAGGTTGTGGAACATGATGGGATCGAATTCGAAATAAAGTGCAGTGTGCTGGCAAATGAGACGGAACTCTCAGCCAGAAAAGCGTTGGAAGCATTCTGGATATTCACTAGAAAACCCAGAATGAACAACCGAGATGAGTGTCCTGCCATCACAAACGACCTGCTACCGTTTATACCCCAGCCTCCTCGATATGTCATTATACGGGGACAGCGTCGCATTCTCCATTTTTCTACTGACAGCGCTCCAGTGTGACGGTGGAACCACTGGTGAGTCTCTGTCTTGCGATATTGGCGTCTTCTCGAGGGGTTCCTGACACGACGTCGGAACCGCTAGAGTTGACGAGGTGCTTGGTGGGGTAGGTTGCATATCTAATGCTTGAAACACATTCAGGCCTCTGAAGACGACGATTAAGTCGAAACGTTAGGCCATTATTAATAAATGTTCCACCTAACAACCTCGTAAGGCACAAGAATATTGAAACACTTACTAACATGCCGAGGTTGCAAGAAGAGAGAAGCTGGAGAATTCCTCGTTTTGATTTGAATGTCCGATTCGATTTGAAAAGTGTCCGATGTATTTAAGAAGTGTCCAGTTCGCTTTGAAAAAGTCAAAAAGTCCGTTCAAAGTGAAAACGGTAAGCTTCGCCCCTTTAGCCACTCCCACTTCTGTGTGTTTTTGCGCAAATTTTAGTCTTCTTCAAGATTTTCAGGCTCCGACGGTAGACCCTCCTACCATAAGTGGCCTCTGCCCACTTCGAAATAACATTTTCCTTTCCGTGAATTGTCTCCATTCTGAAGGTTCCTTGATTAGTGAGTCAGAGTTAAGGTTTTCGTCAGGACAAAAAAAGCAAGGTTTTCCTGAATTGGTCGAGTGCTGTGTGCCTGGCTATAGACACGATTAGCGGTGGGAGAGTTCTTCTAGAATTGTAACATATGGGACTGGATACGCATCCTAATCGATGCACATGTTACTGGCTCCACTTGTATCCACTACATCTTAACCATAAGCACGACAGCATTGATGTAATGGAATGGTAATTGTACAAAAAAGAAGACACGGTGGTGAAAAAAGAAGACTTACGAGGGTTCACTCAGACATCATATAGAAATTAAAACCTGTTAGTCTGACTGCAGTGAAAAATGGATCAGCAATTGACGCAAGCAGAATTGGCAATGTAGAAGAAATTGACCACCACCTCGGTTATCGAATCCGTGAGTGATCTCGTGCCCAATCGTAGCTCCAAGTCCTCCGTAGTTGAGCGCTCTGAGAAATCTCTACATGTTATTCACTTCAAACGATTGTATTCAGAGGTTGAGAGTGACTACAGTCAAAAAATCTCAGAAAAAGCTAGACGTCGGCTAGCGTCTAGAATCGCTGTTTTACTACCACGCTGCGATATCCGTAAACATTGGCCGGCAGAAAATACGAGCGCGTGCTACTTTACTCTTTTTTACACGTTGACTTGAAAGAATTGCGAGCTTTTGCGAAGTCAAAATCTCCATGTTGAGAACAGAATCAGGAGAATTTTATCTT